TCACTAATATGCTTATACAGTTGTCCCAGGAGGAAAGATTAATATTCTGGGAGGTCATAGTATCGGTCATTCTAGGCAAAAGCGTATATGTACAGGTGTCCTATTCCGAACGGTTTCCGAGACAGAGCTATTTCACTGTACAGTAGTTTGTATTTGGCGCCCAACATTGTCCTTCCTTACCGCATGTGAATCTGCGTGAAGCGTCAGTTGGCCGTTGTGACTGGTGATAGTAACATTGTAGCAGTGTTGTGAAAAATGTTGCACATCTTCACAAATGCCGAATCTGCTGTATGTTGCCTCACAGGAGTTGCAAAGTGCATTGATGTTGACGGTGGAATTTTCGAAAATGTATTATACTAGGTAAAGTGTACCAACGCCGGTCACGGTAGCAGAGCGGTCTAAGGCGCGCACTGTCTTCGTTCGCTCGGAACCCGGGATCGTGGGTTCGAATCCCAGTCAGGACATGGATGTTTGTGTGCGTTTTTCTGTGTTTGTGTACAGGTAGAGGCCTTGCGACGAGCTGATCACCCGCCCAAGGAGTCCTACCTTATGTCTAAGATGTAGAAAAACCGGAGTGAACGGAGAAGTTCATGGAAGTAGGCCTAGGCCCACTGGGGCTTGTAGTGCCAAGGTAAAAAAAGTGTACCAACTTTGTCAATTGAAAAATAAATACCGGTATTGGAAACAGTACTTTTTTTTTGTTTTTGTTTTTATATCTCCGTTTATTTGTACAATCGGTCCATATTAAGGACTATAAGTACATCTTGTGAAATACTTAATCTAAGGTTGAAATACTAATAAAAGAACATGTCAGGGAGAGTAATACTTTACTGAGCATTCTTTAGGAATCTATTTCGAGTGTGACTTTATTACAGTATGTATTGCATTTATGTGAAGCGCGTCGTTAGGTCGGTTGGCTTATGCCTTTTGAGTCTTCTGGGCTCATCTGCGTCGTTTAATAATGTGGTTGCCAGTTCATTTGGATATGCTGTTATCTTGTCTTTATATTTGCAGCTGATGTTTGTAGTTTCTTCCCGTACTGTGGGTATGCCCAGATCGGCATGTAGCAGTCTGTTTGGGACGTACCAAGGTGCATTGACTATAGCGCGAAGTACTTTATTTTGGAATCTCTGTAACATTTCTCTACTGGATGTACTTGCCGTTCCCCATAATGGTGCGCCGTAAGTCCAAATAAGCTTCAGTATTGTGTTGTATACTAGGAGTTTATTTTCGGTAGACAGTCTTGACTTTCTGCTAATTAGCCAATGCATCTGACTAAATTTAATATCCAGTTGTTTCCTTTGGCGAGAATATGTCAACCGCCTGTCCAGGTGAAGGCCTAAGTATTTGACTGATTCCTCTTGTGGTACGCATGTTCCGTTTAATAGTACCGGAGGGCAGCTTCCGTGGCTCAAAGCGAAGGTGACGTGCACGGATTTAGTTTCGTTGGCCTTAATTCTCCATCGCTATAGCCATTCTTCGAATTGGTCTAAGTGTGTTTGCAGTATCCGGGATGCTTCAATAGTGTTCTCATGAGACGCTAGAATTGTTGTTCCGTCGGAAACAGTACGCAATATCTCTTTCTTATAAAAAAATTTGGAACTGTACGGTGAAATAACTTTATCTCGGAAACCGTCAGGGACAATACACATGTACATATATACTTTTACGTTTAGAATGACAGATACTATGACCTCCCAGAATATTGACCTTTCCTCCTGGGACACTCTGCATATGCTTGACTTATTTAACGACGCTTACAGCAGCTCAGATGAATACATCCATTGTTACACCCCCGTACAGGAAATGTACTTGTTGGGCCCGCCATATTAACTGTACAAAAACTGGGATTTTAACTGAAATACTTTCTAAAACAAATAAAGAAATGAAAACGAACAAGTGGTAATTGTTCATACTCGCTGTACGTGACGACATCCATTTCAAACTTCGATATACTACACCTGAAGTTTCTCTGTATTTGGGTGACATCTGTAGGACAGAAAATGACATTTGCGTACAGCGGCTACAGCTCGTCATCTGACGAGGTCGGCACTGGCGTGCAGTACTATGTTACATTCTGTCTGGTGAATGGATTGGCATTGAATGTGATAGACTACGTAAAAGGTGATCAGTAGATACTGCATTTTAAAAGCGATAGACGAAAATGGTCGTAGCTTAATTTAAAATTCTATTCCAGTAATTCTCTGGTGTCTGAGGTAAACTGTGAATATATTTTAAGTCTCCTAGCCGAGTTTTGGACCTGAGATTCGTGGCGTTTAGTGAACAGTGAATTTGAAACGTATAAAGAAGAAACTATGATTTAACTTAAGTTTCTATTTAGGTATTTGTTTGGGGAACTGAAGAAAATCTTGATAGTCTTTAATCTCGTGTCAGAGATTTGAAACCAATGCTTCCTCGTTATGAGTGAGTTTGCAGGAAGCTGTCTGAAATGAATTAAAATGCTATTTCGTCATACGTCTGAGAAAAATGAGGAAAACCGCGAAAATCTTCAGTTTCCGGGCATAAATATGAGCCAAGAATCTCCCGGTGATTAAGGGGCAAATAAATTTATGAGATAGTAGCCTTCATGACTTAAATCGACATATATCTGAAGTGCCTGTGGAAAGCCAATAAAATCTTCAGTCTCGGGGCTGAGATTCGAACCAGGGACCTCTGGAGCCGGAGTTGACCACTTGAACACAAGTTTAATTAGTGGATCAATAACGCCCAATAATATTGGCAAAGACGGTAGGTGGTATGTCGTAGAATGTCAGTAGATAGTGTTATTGATCTTCGTGTCAGTGTGAGTTTCCACGTACTTTTATACTTCTGCTATAAAGGAGGGCACGTTTGGGTACCCCGTTGTTTGCTTGTAGCTTCATTTCTTGGAAAACTCCCTTCCTGTAGGATCGCAGTTTCGTGTCCTCGGAAAGGCAAACATTTAGCACGTGACTAGACTCTAAAGTGTTTCCTAGTATGAATGACGGAGATGCGGGTGATTAAGACAGCATTAGGACTGGAGCGCTATTTGCTGACACGCAGAAGGTGAGATCTCTCATCGACTGTGTTCAAGGAAATGAATTGTTATTTGTAATTCATGGCTCAGTCTGCATAGCGACGGGCTACCGGCAGGACGGCCCAGTTCCATTCCCACTTCGTCCAGACCGACTCCAGGTCGCACCCCGCCTCCTATCCATTGGGTACCGAGGTCCTTTCTTCAGGACAAAGCGGCAGGGGCGTGAAGCTGACCAGTCACCTCCATCTATTGCTGAGGTCAAAAAAGTTGGAGTTATAGCTCCACTACCCCCTGTACCTCCATGGCGTGGTGCTTAATTATTTAAGTACAGGGGCGAATTAACTTTTCTTCTTCTAACCAACTGTTGTGTGAGATACAGTATTACATGTTATGTACTGCGGTGTTTTTGTCAAACTGGTTATGTTTCCTGCCCTAAACCAGTAACGACGGTCCTGCACTGTCTGGGTCAGAGCACGTCTCCTGACTTACGAACAATATCTTCCCGTATTTGACGCCGTATAGTCTGGCAAAGTCGGCGTTTGGGAGGAATGTATACTCTCTCCATCTTCGTCCACGAGAAGTAAGCCAAGCAGGGCTCAATTTTCTGGTTTCTTCTTGCCTAGCCTATATTTTGACCCTGAAGATGGAAGCATAACTTCTCCCGTACTACATGATATCACATTAAAAAAAATATACTTCACAGTCACTCCCGTGAGAAACTAAAATCCATGACAGGTTTAGGAGGGGTTTCTCTGTACAAAAATACTAAACATTGTTGTGTCGGAGGAACCCAGGAAACCTATCAATCAGTAAATATATGGAAACACCGGAAGAATAAAACGGAGGAACACCAAATGACAGTATTTGAGAAGAGGGCGCTCAGGATAATATTTTCGGGATGAAAGTTGCATGATGAAGAATGTCACAACTCGCGATTTTTGAGAAATATTATTACGATTATCAGATCAAGGTCGATGAGAACAATGAGGAATGCGGTATGTCTGGGGTGTAAGAAAAATATATATAAGATTTCTGTAGGGAAATCTGAAGGATTGTATTAATTAGGGACATAGTCATAGTTCGGAAAACAATATTAAAACGGATCTTAATGCAATAGAATGGGAGGTTTTGGGGTTGGATTAGTTTGTTTCAGTGCTGAGACCAGCGGCGGGCTCTTGTAAACGTAATAGTGATTGTTCGGGTTCCACAGAAAGCAGAGAATTGAGGAGAGTTGATAATGAAGTGGAGCTAGGGTAAATCTTGGTAATAATGAGAAGAATAAGAGTATTTTCGTTAATGTAGTTCCGTACGTCATTAAAGGGCCATAGTTTGTATCAGAACCTCCTTAGACACTTTCTTTTGTTTGTGATAACCGGGTAATGGCATTCTGTATGTGGGTAGGTTGTTGATCAGCGTTCGGGAGGAACTTGATGTCTTTGTGTTCAAACTTCTACCCTGCGGAAGGAAGCAGCAGGTTCCTCCAAAATGCCGGTGCCTACCTACCAGACTACATGTAATCATAACCAGAAGGACACAGTAAAAACAATTGTTGCTATGAAAAAACTCAAATCTCACCCGCTCACTCACTTCCTCCCCGGACTCAGCCAGCAGCCAATGCAATTTACGCATGAAAACCTCAAATTGTACTCACTCACTCACTCACCACTTCCTCCTCTGAGTGAGCTAGCAACCAATGCATTTTACCTACGAAAACCTCAAACATCACTCATTCACTCACTCACTCACTCACTCACTCAATCACCACTTCCTTCTCGATGTGAGCTAGCAACCAATACACTTACCTATGAAAACCTCAAACATCACTCACTCACTCACTCACTTATTTTCTCCTCTGCGTGAGCCAGCAACCAAATGCACATTATGCATGAAAACCTCAAATCTCACTCACTCTCTGTTCTCCTAGGACTGAATCAGCATTGTTTGTATGTATACTGTGTGAATGAAAACGGCAAACTTCACTCACTTGACTTCCTCCTCGGACTGTGCCAGCAACCAGTGCACCTTGTCTCGTCGGCGAGTGCCAAATGCCATCAGCTGGACGACGTGACAGCCGCTGGGTAGATCGGGGCGACCCGGGATGCGAAGTGTCCACTGACTGACAGCCATCATCTCCGGTGCCTCCTTCACCACCAGACTACCCTCCGGCTCTAGTCGTCCTTTCTCTTTGAACCAGGCCAGTGTTGAGTCTTCGTACAGTACAACCCATTCTTCGCGCCACGCCTTGCCGAACAAGCGCTCTGCAATGAGAAAAACCAGACCACGTTATTTTGCGCAGAGATGTACTCTGACTAAACTCCATCCACCTTACGAATCAGAGTGCGTCATGTCATGTGTAGGAAACCTTACGGAAAAAAAAGTCCCATGGATGAACGAATGTTTCAATTTAAAATCTGCATGTGAATACCGGAATTATGCTGGAAACAGAATCTAATGAGTTCCTAATGCAATATATTCCAAACGATGACGTAACAGTCTACGTCACCAGCTGACTGTGACGCACCCACGTTGCTGTAATAGACGGAGTGTAGTAGTTATTTGTTTGATTTGTAAGATATTTAAAGATGCTGTTTAAACTGCGCGGGTCTAACGTCGAATAAAGATTATGAGTTGGAAAGGAAGAAAAAGGAAGAAGTCGTGGCCTATTTCAGTGTCTTGTAATAAGTCTTTTTCTGTAGAGAATAAGGGAAGTCGTCATATTCAAATATTTCTTCGTCTGAGATTTCGAACCAAATTTTCCGGAATAACACGAAGAATATTAATCTTCAAGTGAGGGCTATGTAAGGTACAGAAGTCGCAGGTGTGAACAGAATTACGTCACATCTACATCTGCTATTTACACAAAGTCAGGAGAAGATTATATTTAGGTGTGAAGTTGTTATCAGAAGGGACTCATAATGACAGGCCTCGTAAAAAGTAAAGTATTCTACTAATTACACTGAAGGCCACAGAGTCTGTTTTAAAACTAATTTATTCTCTTCAGTTTTAATTCATGTAACTTTTTGTTCCCTTAATCATCCCTAGGGGACACGGTAGGATTTCATGCTTTAAAGACGATACACTGAAGCTTATAGCGAGCCGGGATAGCGCAGCCGGTGTAGCGACTGGCTACGGGCTGGACGACCAAGGGGTCTAAGTTCAAGTCCCGGTAGTGCCTAGAATTTTCTCTTCCTCACGTCGTCCCGACAGTCTCTGGGGTCCATCCAGTGGGTACCGGGGGCTCTTTCTCCGGGGGTAAGCGACCGGGGCGTGAAGCTGACAACTCACCTCCAACGAGTGCTGAGGTCAAGAAATCATGGATCTATATATCCACTCGCCCATATGACTTCATGACGTAGTGCTTAATTAGTTAAGTGCAAGGAAAGTTTACCCTTTTTTTTTTTCATTGAAGCTTATACATGGTATAAGGCTTGTTGGGTATGGTATTCTCACAGCTATTAGTATGAAGAGTACTAGCGTCTGGGGCGTGACGCCGTGTGGTCTGGTAGAATTTTACCGACGTGAGGAACTTGATGCTTCTATCTTCAAGGAATAAGACGATCAACCGGTACAGAAGGAATCAGTAAGCAGAAAGAACCGCGTGTAGGAAGACTCATTCAGATATAGACTTATAAAAGGTCAAGGAAGAACTGATAGGAGCAAGAAGCATAATTAATGCGACCTGTCTTTCTAGTTCTTGCATCTTCTCGCTTTTGCAAATAAATCCCTTCGTGGGACCAGCATAAATGATTGTTCTCCATGTTCCTGTTGGTTCACTCTGGACTCCATTCTGGGTCTGTACCGGAACGGCTTTTCCCACACTCGGATCGCTCTGCTTGCTTATTTCTTGGTTTACTCTTGGACCCTGAAGATGGAGGCAATATGTTCGTCTGAAAGTCTGTAAATTTATAGCGCACTACACGATGTAACGTCTAAGATGGTAATATGCTTTATATTGTCACGTGTATGAGTGACTATAGATGGGGTTTGGATTGGTAATCGGATTTATTGAACTGTCACAAATCGTAACTGCAAGTAACTATAGCTCTATCGCTAATTCACATACACTGCAGTTCACTACAGCACACACTTGAGCCTTCTCAGTCTGTTGTGTGTTCACCGGTTGTCTGGTAACGACTTCCAACAATGTCCTCTTCTTCGTGCTCATATTCTTACCGGCTGGCGACTGTCTCATAAATTCCAAGGCTGGCGGCCATTTCGCACCAACCTCCTCCTCTTCTGATTGACTGAACTCGGTTGGTCGAGTGACGTAGCCTCGTTGCGGACCATATACAAAACATCTCTTCAAACATTTTTCCTACTATTGCGTCATGTAGGTATCCTAGAGACCGCGCAGACAATACCGTTTCCCAGTTAGTCCATTGGTGCGTGCTAGGAATCTGTTGCCTAGCAACGGGTGTTGTTAACAGAATCATTACTTAGCAATGTGTCTATATGCTACAAAATGAAACATGTTCAATGTAAAATGTACATAGATTTAGTGACTTACGCCTTAGTTGTAGTCCTGAATAAACCCGCGTAATGCTAAAACGCTGAAGACGAATATCGTTACTAGACTCCGTATGAGGAAAAGCACTAAGCTATAGTATAAATTAGGTTAATGACAGTAATTTGACATTTGACATTTCTAGAGAAGTGTCTGCCGCTATAATCTCTGTGAAACATTTCTGAGGCGACGTCATCAACAGCACCAATGTTATTTTGAGATATAAATATGTTACTTTTTTTCTCGAGGGTTGTTTGTAAGTTGTGTAATGCATAACGCATGTTGCCTAGGAGCGCCATAAGGGAGACTTCATCGAGCAAACAGGATCTTTCTTCCTTAAGGTTGCCTACTTGAAAAATGACGTGCGCTCAAAAGATGCTTTAGGCAGAGTATATCAATAGCAATTTTAGAACTTAAGTAATTTCTTGTTACATATGAAGTCCTTCAAGATACGCCACTTGAGATTTATATTAAAGAGAAAGAAATGAATAAGATAAAGGTGTGAAAGGAATTACGGAAAGGAAGAAAATGGGTTGAAGTTACTCTCCGTTGAATTTCAACCAGTTTTGATGCTGGTTTTTTCATATTACATAGGCGAATTCCGTGCTTCACAGAAAGTGCTTTATGGAAAATTGGTGAAAAAGTACGTCTGTCTCACTTCTCGTGGGTTCCGCCTATAGTAACTTTAACCTTAAGAATTTTTCACGAGCTGAGTGGTGAATGCACTTTGATTCTCATTGTAAATCCCTGGCTTGCGGGAACCGTGTGACGTCCAGCTCAGAATTCAACTCACGTCGCGGTGCTGAGAGGGGCTCATCAGGGCGCCGGTATGGAGGGGAAGGGAGGAGTTATTGCTGTCGTATTTCATGAGTGGGCAGATAAATAACACAAATAAGTAAAATTCCGTCACGCCAAAACCAATAGGGATCTCATCGACTATCTAAATTTTTATTGGTGGCTTGTGTCAACGATTACACGACGTTTTACAAGAGGAGAGAATTTCAGCTTACTCTTCTGTGCTGCCAAAAGGTGGGCCGCTTGCGCTATTACGCGGCTCAATGCTGATCCAACCATTCTTTTTCAGGGTTTCCAGCATTTCTTCTTCCCCTAAAATTGCTGTTGTATTATTCAGAGAGAGAATGTTCCCACTTCACTGTCACAGTAACTACAAGTAAATATACCGAACAGGATTTCACTTGAGAAGGTATACTTTCTTCCAACTGGGAAAGAAATTCCGTCATTTTAATTAACTCTAAAATTCATTACCGTTACCAGAATTCCTCCATTGGTCCATATCCTGAAACAGATGAATCCGATCGCAATTTCAGTACTACCATCCCACCTACGCCCACGTCCCACGACTTGTGCCGTCCCTTCATATTTTCTGGCTAAAATTCTATGTACTTTTCTCATGTACTCCACGCATGCTACATGCTCCAACCATCCTGCCTTCCTTGACTTGGTCATTTTAAATTTAATTTTGTGCGAAACATATAAATTATGGCCCTCATCGCGCAATTTCCTCCACAGTATTGTTGTTTTCTGCTCCTAATTAAAAAAAAAACCTCTTCAGAACCCTGTTCCCTAACACCTGCAATCTACATTCTTTCCTTAATGTGGAAGATCAATACATAACAGCGGATAAAATTATCATTCTCTATAATTTGATATTTGCATCAAATTAGAAAATGAATCTCAAACGGGTAGTTTAAAATAATGTATTAAGTTTCCTTTATCTTTTTATTCCCAAGTGACAGATGCTTCCAGCTCTATGTGTACATGAAAACTATTATGACAGGGGCGTCAGAAAATATGCATATAGTCAGATAAGACGCATAATTATGAGATCTTTTATTATATAATATGTATTTCGATCCTGAGTCCCCATTTCAAAAGAACAACCGGTTAATATTGTGTAGGGAAATAATCGCTGTTTATTCTGAGAATCGTTCCAGACATATAAATATACTTCTTCGGCAAAGGATAGGGTAGTACATATAGTAACCACTATGCTTTAAAGGGCTGAAATGACAAAATATTAAGGAGAATGTGTTTGTCTTTCATACTGTCCGCTATTTCACTACCCAGATATCCTTGTAACAGGCTATGGAGGCCTACAGGCATGTGAGACGTCGAGGCTTCCAAATTTTGCTAGGCAGTCGGCCCACAGATGGGGTTGAGGTCGTCAGCTTTACAAGCCGGCCGCCGTTTACCCCCAGGAAGATTCCTGGTACTGATTTCTGTTAGAGGCTGAGTCGACCCCAAGGCCATAATGCAGCTGGAAGGATTAAGTCAACTGAAAAATCCAATAACCTCATCAGGAATGGAACCCACGACTTTCGGTTTGCAGCATAGTGCTCCCCTATTCTCTTAATGGGATTAAATGAAATGGTACGGGTATCCCCGTGTGGAGGCGGGGTCGAATACCTCCACCGTGACCCTGCGAGTCGTAGGAGGCGACGAAAAGGAAGTCTCAAATCTGAAACAGTAAAATATGGTCTCGAGTCCCAAGGGACTCAGACCCGAGAAAGACTTCACTGGCAAGGGCCGGCATCATATATAAAAGGCAGACCCGTCCTCTCGTCAGAGAGGGCGCCCCACGTAAATATCAAACGGTAATAAATATCTGGTCTGGGGCTCGACACGAAGGCTTACTGACTGACTGCCCGTCAGTCGCAATGTGACTTGGACTTGGACTTGGTACGGGTGAACTAAAGGTATGATCGTCTGTGTTGTAACGCCATGTAGTTCGGT